AGGATATATGGCTGTTGGCTTTGTGTTGATTTAAAATAATTTCTTTTTGTCTTTGCAATGCCTCTTGCATTTTGTCTGATATTATATATTTACTTTGTGTTAATCCTTTTTTGGAATTTGTATGCAATCCTTTTACTGTTATTACGATTAGGACTAGAAACTACCATGTCATGGTCATTTGGCCCCTATTGTTTCTGTTAACAAGTTAGCTATCAGGCTTAATGTTGCTTCTTTGAAATATGGTGTCTTTTGTACCAGGCTGCTTTCAAGACTTTCTTTGTATTTTCATCAACATGACTATTATGTAATCAATGGTTTGCTTTATCAATGGTTTGCTTTATGTTTACATGGCATTTTTGTTTACACTATTCCTCAGTATTGCATAGTCATATGCATAGGTTCTGGTGTGAATGGTCGCAATTCAAACATTAGATCCTTAACACACCTCAGCATTACCTAAAATTCTGCATTAGCATCTCCATTCTACCATTGCACAATGGGTTATACATGTTATACAAAGCATATAGACAGCCTGCCTTTGACTGCATTATATCCAGGTAATCTTTAATGAGCAGTTGGTAACTATGGCCTCAATTCAGATGCACATAGGCCTAGTTGTATGTTATACTGGTAACGGGAGATGAAGAATTTCTCCCTCGTTGAATACTGGAATCTTTACTTCTTTTCTAGCCCCTTACTTCAGAAGTCATGCTTTTGGAGCTGAAGAGATGGCTCGGCAGTTAAAAAGCACTCACGGTCCTTATAGAGGACCCAGGTTTGGTTCCCAGCACCCACATAGCAGCTAACAACCATCTGTAATCCAGTTCCAAGGGATCTAATGCCCTCTTATAACCTCCACAGACATTGCACGACATGGGTGCACTTACATACATGCAGGTGATACACTAATACAAATAAAATAGTAGTAATTAAAAAAAAAACAAAAATGAAGTCATGCTTTCTGTAGTCCTAGCCCTAGGCAGGCAAAAGCAGGAGAATATCTAGTTCCATGTCAGACCTTGTCTCAAAAAAAAATAGTCACACATTCACTTCATGGTCATGTATTTCTTACTTTTTGTTTTGCTTCCTTATAGTCACTATGAAGTCCTGTTGCTTTCTCTAAACTCTCAATCCAAGTACAGTTAAAGCTCATGTTTGATGACTCTAGTCTCTGAATTTCCTTAGGCTCTATTTCCATGTCTTTTTCTTTCCATTTTTTTAATTTAAGTAGTTATTTTATATTGAGTGTCAAATGTTTTCCATAAAAAATTAGTTAAGGTCTGGATATTATCTTAGAGATCATTTACTTTTTTGTCTTTTACCTATAGCAAAGGTATGAAACAGATGATCTTAAATGCAATTAGGGATTGAGTTGGTGCAAAGCTGAATTTCAGGAGGGTTTGGAGAGCTGGTCGATTTCTCATTTCTTATTCTTAATGCTTAGAATCTCATCTAAAATTCTGGGATGTTGTCTAGTTTCTCCTCCATGTCCTGCCTAATTTTTGATCATTAGTTCTCAGACTGTCTAAAGTGCTGCTCAAATTCTCTGCCTTTCAGTCCCAATACCCAAAGAGAAATGGATATCCAAATAGCCACTGCTGGGCTTGCTTTGGCCTTCTCTTCTTGCTAGAATTCTGACCCTGCATTTGCTTTCTTCCTTGAACAAATTCTATTTGTTTAGGCTCCCTTTTCTTCCTGTTCCCAGATCGATTTGCTTCAAGCAAAGCAGCTTACTGCCAAGGGAACAAGTTGCTTATTTTCAACACACCTTGTGAGACATGTTTCATGACATTTAAGATGCAAACATGATTCTCAAAAAACAATGAGAAGTTAAAAATAGTAATATTACCTAAAACAATAATGAAAGTGAAAATTATCAAATTAATACATCTCCTTTATATCTTTTTTATCATTCTTACCATAACCATATTTTGATAGAATTCATGAAGTAAATTATCTACAATGACTTTAAGGCCCATCCTTTAGCCTGTTTAAGCTTAGCTCCCTTATGGCACCAGAGAGGTTTCCCATGCTCCAGTGGATGGCCCCACATCATGTGAATATGGGCAACACTAAACAGATTTAGTGGGGTATCAAAAAAAAAAACTAAAAAGACATGAGGTTGTTAGGCCCCTAAGATGGATGATATGGCAGGAGTTGGAGGGGGAAACAGAAACTAGATATGATCATATACATATATATGAAATTCTCAGAAATAGTTTTTTTAAAAAGCTTCACTCCTTATAACAAGCTCCCATAGTTCTGGACTTTCTTCATTATTTCTTGCATAGATATATAGATAAAGACATGATAGATGATTGATTGATAGATGATTGATAGATAGATAGATAGATGATAGATAGATACATAGATACATAGATACATAGATAGATGGGCAAGAAATCTATATATATTTATCCCCAGTTTCCTTACATGTTTTGTTTGAAACAGGTAGCCCAGCCTGGCTTCAAACTCACTATGTAGCAGAGGATGTCCTTGAATTCTAATCCTTCCTCCACATACCAAGTGCTAGGATTACAGGCAGGCACCACCATACCTGGCTCTTCACCTTTTATTTTTGTAGATTTCAGCAGGATAATTGGATGTCAAGTACACAGAACAATTCATTGTGTGACTATGCAGTGCACTGCAGAATGCTTGGCCTCCCTGGTCTATTAACCCAGGACATCACCAATGTAAGTTAAGGTAAAAACCACTCTCCCCAGGTAGAAGACAGTAATTTGTTTTCAGCACAAGGAGATGACAAATGTTTGAGGAGTTGGATATGCTTTCCCTGATTTGAATATTAATGTACATATGTACTGAAACATCATCTCACCCCACGAATATATATAGTTATGTATCAATTACAAATAAACATTTTTAAATGCAAAAATGTGCTTTCACAGATTCCCAAAATACTTTCTACATCTAATATCACTTATTTACTTTATAGTCCTGGGGACCGAACCTAGGTCCTCATGCATTCTAGGCAATCACTCTGTTTCTGAGCTATATCATAGCACCTCTTTTCACTTTTTAAAAATATTTTATTTATTATTTTTATTTTATGCGTGTGAGCATTATGCCTGCGTGTAGGTAAGTGCACCCGTGTTGTGCAGTGCCTGCGGAGGACAGAAGAGGCTGTCGGATCCTCTGGAGCTGGAGTTACAGACAGTTATTAGCTGCCATGCGGGTGCTGGGATTCAAATCCAGGTCCTCTGCAAGAGCAGTCAGTGTTATTAACTGCTGAGCCATCTGTCCAGGCCCTCTCTTTTCATGTTTTAATTTAAAGCAAGTCTTACTTAGTTACCCAGACAACTCACTCTGTAGCTCAGGCAGGACTTTGAACCTGGGATCTTCCTGCCTTAGCCTCCTGAGTAGCTGAGATTACAGGCCTAAATCAACAGGCCCAACTCACTTAAAAAAAAAAATCTTCCGTTAGTTCTGTAAAATTATTCCTGAAGAAGGTGATAACCGAGGGTACCTGTGGACTCAGGATCACCTTTAAGGGGACAAAGAGCAGTGTGGGGTAGTTACTGTGTGCCTTGTTATCTTCCATACCTGGACAACTCCAAAAGGTACCCTAAAATCTACTGAAAACAAGTTACTTTTACCACCCAGGGTAAGGTAAAAAGCCAGTAGCAAACACTCTGCCATTTTTCCGTGGGTTAGAATGGAGTGCTCTGAAGCTGGCTGGCTATAATGGTCAGTGGTAACAACCTGTGGCATTGTCAAGTGCTAGGGGAGCAGGCACTAATGGCTTAGATTCCACTACCTTAAACATCTGAGCAACCCTATCAATAGGAATTATGAGGAACTGAGACTTTATGAAATGAAGGGACTGCTGAAAATTTTTAAATACAGTGGGGCTGGAGAGATGGCTCAGCAGTTAAGAACACTGACTGCTCTTGCAGAGGACCTAGGTTCAGTTCCCAGCACCCACATGATGGCTAAAAACTCTCTGAACTCCAGTTCCAGGGAATCTGATGTCCTCTTCTGACCTCCGTGGGCATTGCATGACACCAGTGCACTTACATACATGCAGGTAATACACTCATACATATAAAATAAAAATACAAATCAAAAAAACTTAATTAAAAAAAATTAAATACGGTAAGCATTTCTATGATTCCACTACAACACACTTACCGAAAGCCACTGGTGTTTGGAAGCCTCATACCCATTCCTCACCCCTACACTCCTCTGGATGCCCCCCCAACACTTTCACTTTCTCTCTCTCTCTCTCTCTCTCTCTCTCTCTCTCTCTCTCTCTCTCGATTAGAAGGGCTTGAGGAAAAGAAAAATTAGTCTAGGAGGAACCTAACCAGGACCTGTCAGCTCAACCTCTCCCCCACACTCTAGGCATTGTCCAAGGGTGAATCTGCCCATGACTTCAACACAGCTTCCCCATTTTTTCTATTTCCTTGATCCCTATAGTCCAGACCTCGGGGTGCGACTGATTGATTGATTGATTGATTGATTGATTGATTGATTGATTATGAGTGTATTGCCTGTGTGCATGTAAGTGCACCCATGTCACACAAGGTCTGAAGAGGGCATCAGATCCCCTGGAACTGGAGTTATGGATGGTTCTTAGGCGCCACGTGGATGGTGGGAACCAAACCTGGGTCCTCTGCAAGAGCAGTCAGTGCTCTTAACCGCTAAGCCGTCTCTCCAGCCCCCTAGGGGTGTTCTGAACCCCGGGGTCCTTACCTTCACAGCAGTATATTCCTCACGGATGTTTCCAAAGTAGCTCGCCACCTGACAACCCACGCAGCCCCTCTAGCCCGAGCCCAGCTGACCTCTATCCTCAACCTAGAAGCTGTGTAGCCTGGCTCCAAAGTGCAGGTTCCTAGGCAATAGTGCCAAGCGCGCGCGCGGGCGCGCGCACCCGCGCGTTTGGAGCTGGAGCACCGCCTCTCTGGCTAGCCGCCACTCGGTTTCCTTGGCAACATAGTACACAGTACCAACCCTAGTAGCGAGCAGGATGTGCTTTAGCAGAGTAGCTGAGGAGAGTTGCAGAGGACTTTGGGACAGAGAGCGGGAAAAGGACTCTGAGGCCAGGAAAGATGAACACAGAGGACGCACTGCTCGCGCCCCCGCTGCGTGGAGTTACTCCTGCTTTAAGTAAGAGCTCCGCGGGGCGCGGTCCTCTGATCCACCTGCCCCCAAGCTTCCCTTTGCCCACATGCTCACTTGAAGTTTCTCCTCTTTCTTGATCTTTAGGGAAGGTGAATAATTCCTGCTTTGGGACACGTCAATCGAGGAAGCTCTTTCCTCACCACCATCCTCCAACCCGGTTGGGGAACAAGTTTCTCCCTCTTAGGGGATCACCCCACAGGGGGCCTGGGTGTTATACAGCAACAGATGTGAGTATTCACCTACCCTTAGGTGAGTCTGTTTTCTGTGGAAGAATACCCAAGTTTCCTGATAGAAAAACTCTACACTCTTTGACTTTTATATTCTGGGTCACAACAAAAGAAGGTGCCCTGATTGGCAACTAGCTGTTAGAGCCAACGTAGAGAGCAAGGAGTCCTACTTCCCCACTTTCCGCAACCACTAAACTCAAGCTTTGTCTCCATACAATCCCCACTCCATGTTCACTTCCGAAGGCCTGGGAGCCTTTGTCCATTTCCTTCCACTTGGTCGGGTTCTCAGGCTGACTCTTCCATTAAAGCAAATTCAGCTGTTCTAGGGCTTGGAAGACTGAAGTCATTGGAATGCACAGAAATGTCATTTGTTCTACTTGCCCAGCCATGTCCCTTTGCAAAGATGCATATGTTTATATAATGGTATAGCTTGGCCATGAAGGAATCAAGACAAGAAAGGAAAGCAATCTCTGACAAAGAAGGCTCACATGGGACTATTCTAAATTCAATCCATTTTTAAAAGACTGTCTTGTGATTGTGTTTTGATGTTTTTCTTGTGTCTCCTTCCCTCCCTCTCTCTCTTCCTTCCACTGGAAGTGGAATGGCTTGGCATACAACCTATCTAGGATTCCAACCAGTACAAAAGGCTATGCTTTTGGAGCCAGAACAGCCTTGAGGTTTAAGCCAATAAGCAAGGTAATATGCTGGGATTATAAGGTAATACCTGTTGCTGCCTGAGAATGGAAAACAGCTCATTGAATAAATAAGCCCAAGACAGGGCTTTAATGATGTGATGCTTAACGTTAAACTGCAAAAGCTATACATCATATATCTTATCATATATACATCATATTATCTTGTCAGTTAAAAGACAAATTCCACCTTCTCCATTATGTGCATGTGCATGATTGGATTTCACGTCTGATCATCAGTAGAGGATCTTAATCTTTCTCTTTTATGAAGCAGTGCTGGGACTTGAACTCGGAGCCTGTATTGTACTAAGCAAGTGCTCTACCACTGCTCTACCAGGCTAAGATATTCCTCTCTTATTGCATGTTTTCTGACATGGGACAGCCAAGGACTAGGGATATGACTGAAAATCTCCCACTGGGGTGGTGGGCTGCAAGCCTTGGTTCTTGACCCATGATAGGGTTATTTCTGTGTATTATGTAACATCATATAACTGAACCAAACCCATATCCTGGTCTTTACCTACATAGGCCTATTTCTACATCTTGTTATGGCTTAACTGTAGCTGATTTATAAACAGGGAGAAATTATTCTGTTCTGTTTCACCTGGAAAGACTTGCAAGGAATATAT